GAGCGAGAAACGGTGGGCTGAGAGGTTATTCTCGAATGAGAAGAGCTGAATTGATCGCTTTACTAGATAATAATCAACCTATTGATAATGTTGATAATGATAATGATGATAATGATGATGATAATCAACATCAAGAATTAATATTTGTACCCACATCCGCCGGCGTTGGTAAATATCTAAGAGGTTGGAAGATGGATATTAATTCCAACATGGATGTTAACGATATTAAGCCCATCATATCGAGTAAAATTAACGAGGAATTAGATGATTTACATAGTATAAAATACCAGCTGACGATTAAAATGACATTGAGTAAAAGTAACACAGACGATAGCACCGAATATACCGAACCATATTTCCGTAGCAATCAAGAAGTTATAACCGAATCCGATACTATAAATTCATCATTAGATACATCAATTCAGAGGATACAGGAAACTTTAGAACGCTGGACTAATAGAGGTTCGGGTTGGGGTGTTGATAAAATCGATAGTTTATATTTAGATATAGCAAATTATATGCCCTTCAAAGGTGGATCTTATATAGATTTACCTCCGTATTATAAGAAGAAAAAAGCCATAATTAACGTAAAAAATAAATCCGATGACTGTTTAAGAATGATGATAAGATCTGCATTGTTCCCCGTAGATTCTAAAATTGCAAATAGACCTTCTAGCTATCCCCAAAACGATGGACTCAACTTCGATGGTATAGACGAACCTACACCAATATCACAAATTGATAAGGTGGAAAAGCAAAATAATTTAGCTATAAATGTTTTCGGACATTCTAAAGGAATTGTTGTACACAGGATAAGCTCCGCTCCGGAAAATATCCCCAGAATCAATTCATTTCTGATCGAAAAAGATGGTAAATATCATTATACGTGGATAAAGAGTTTAAACAGGCTATTATACGATCAAACAAAACATGCTAGAAAGAAATATTTCTGTGAAAGATGCCTGCATGGGTACAGCAGACAAGATCTATTAGAAGCGCATAAAGAAGACTGTAGAGGTGTTGGACAGAATGCTATCAGGATCGATATGCCTAAAGAAGGAAAAAATATATTAAAATTTGAACATTATTGTAATCAAATGCCAGTACCGTACGTAATTTACGCCGACTTCGAAGCTCTTATCAAACCCATAGAAAATAATCAAGATAATAATCAAGATAATAGTTTTACGTACAAAACTCAAGAACATATTCCTTGTGGGTTTGGATATATAGTTGTAAGGTATGATGGGAAAACAAACCCGCCCGTGATTTACAGAGGTCCCGATGCAGCGGGAAAGTTCCTAGAATATCTACAAAATGAAGAGAGAATAATCAGGGAAAAATTATCGTGTAAGATACCCATGCGTATGACGAGGGATGATTGGAGGGCCCATAAGAAGTCAACGAGTTGTCACGTTTGTAATAAACCCCTGGATGGGGATTCCGTAAGAGATCATTGTCACGTCACGGGTAATTATCGGGGAGCCGCTCATAACGAGTGTAACTTGAAACTAAAAATGAATGCTCAAACAATACCCATCCCCGTTGTGTTTCATAACCTTAGGGGATACGATTCACATCTCATTATGCAAGCTATCTCGAAGACCGACGGCGGTTTAACGTGCATTCCTAACAATATGGAAAAATACATATCGTTCTCGTTGACTAAACCTATCCATTATAGGGACAAGGATGGGAAATCTAGAACAAAGCAAAGTAATGGGCTTAGATTCATAGACTCCGTACAGTTTCTGTTATCTTCCCTGGACAATTTAGCTAATGCGAACAATCCCGATGACTTCGCGATAACAAATCAATATACTGATAAGATAACACGTCATTTGTTGCTGAGAAAAGGTGTATATCCTTACGAATATATGGATGATTGGTCTAGATTCGAAGAAACTGAATTACCACCCCTCGAATCATTCTATAGTAACTTAACAGAATCTAGAATAACAGATGCCGATTATGAACACGCTCTGACGGTCTGGGATAAATTAGGTTGTAAGAATTTAGGCGATTATCACGATCTGTACTTAAAAACCGATGTACTGTTACTCGCCGATATATTCGAGATATTTAGAAAGACGTGTTTCAAACAATACGGTTTGGACCCGGCATGGTACTACTTCAGTCCCGGACTATCGTGGGATGCATTGTTGAAGAAGACCGGCGTAGAACTAAAACTACTCACAGATTACGATATGCACTTGTTTATTGAGAAAGGATTAAGAGGTGGTATATCGATGGCAGCTAAAAGGTATTCTAAGGCTAATAATAAATTAGTGGAAGGATACGATCCCAGTAAACCCGACATAACCCACATATTATATCTCGACGCTAACAATTTGTACGGATGGGCTATGAGTCAACCTTTACCCACGGGTGGTTTTGAATGGGTCAATGATATTAATGTGAATGATATCCATAATATCGAAGTGAATAAAGGGTACATACTAGAAGTTAACTTGGAATATCCAAGTTTGTTACATAAAGATCATAACAGTTATCCGCTAGCTCCCGAAAGATTAATGGTTAATAAAGATTGGATGTCGGAATATCAACGCTCCTTGATGGGTAATAGTAGGTTAGCTAACGTAGAAAAACTCGTACCAAATTTGATGGATAAAACAAAATATATAGTTCACTACAGAAATCTCCAGTTGTATCTATCGTTAGGTATGAAACTTAAGAAAATACACAGAGTTCTAAAGTTTGATCAAAGCCCTTGGATGGAGCCCTATATAAGGTTGAACACAGATTTAAGAAAGATAGCTACCAGCGATTTTGAAAAGAATCTATATAAGCTCATGAATAACTCGGTATTTGGTAAAACTATGGAGAATCTAAGGAAGCGTGTTGATGTTAAATTAGTCAGATCTAATGAGGAAGAAAGACTCAGGAAACTTATAGCCAGTCCGGCTTTTAACAGAAGCAAGATATTTGATAATGACTTAGCCGCGTTGCATATGCAGAAGAGTAATATAAAATTCAACAGACCGGTGTACGTCGGTATGAGTATTCTCGACTTGTCAAAACACTTAATGTATGACTTTTATTACAACGAACTTAAGAAGCAATACGGTGATAGATGCGAGGTGTTATATACCGACACAGATTCTTTGTTGATGGAAATACAAACCGAGGATGTGTATAAAGATATGGCAGAAAAAATAGATATGTACGACACGAGCGATTACCCAAAAGATAATCCACTGCACAGCGTTGTAAATAAAAAGGTATTAGGTAAGATGAAGGATGAATGTGCTGGGACCCCTATAGCGGAGTATGTAGGATTAAGACCTAAGATGTATTCTATAAAGAAGTCCGATTATGGGGAGATAAGAAAAGCTAAGGGCGTTAAGAAGTATGTTGTAAAAAAGCATATCAAACACGAACAGTATAAAGAATCATTATTCAACGGTAGAACGTTCAAACACGAGATGAACTCTTTAAGAAGTTACAATCATAGGATATATGGATTAAGAATTAACAAGACATCATTATCCCCCTTAGATACAAAGAGATGGATTGATAATGATGGTGTAACTACCTATGCTTATGGTTATGGTGGTAATACCGTACCGTCGGGAACTATGAACAACTCTTCTCGTACAAATGCCCTACCCGGCCCATCTTGAAGATAATAAAGAATAGGCTCTCCTCCTTTCGTAACCAATCGACTAATGTTATACGTCTTAAGGGACCAAATCGGATCGGTTGCGCGACGTAGGCCTCCTTCGAGTTCACCGGCCTGGTATAAATATCTTACCCTTACTCTATCCGGAAGTTTTCCTTCTTTGCCTCTCCTCGGTGCTGAAGATTCGGAAGTCACGGATTTCATTTTAATAGCATGGGATGGTTTCTTCCCTATTAATCTCGTTACTTCATTATTCAGCGCTGATACAACGGCTGATAATCGTGTCACCCATTCGGTTGATCTCAATCGCTCGGATTTCATTTCGATCCCATACTGATAGCCAAACAAACGTTCCGCTAATGTCCTGTTAAATCTTTCGACGATAGCTTGACTGCGGTGGGCCTCTCTTTCACCACGGACGATTTCGACATCGTGCTTTGTCAACAGTTTAGTTACCGATCCCATAAACTCGCGACCAGGATCTACTTGAAATAGCTTAGGCCATTTTAGAGGTCCACGTTTGTATATGCGACTCAGTGCATTAGCTACCTCTGTTGATTCTTTCGATGTTAATGGCTCAGCCTCTTTGTATCGACTAGCCACATCCACAACGGTTAAAGCGTATTTATACGTTTTGCGTTTTACCTTATCGTGGGGAAGAAACAAGAGGTCAGCCTGATGAACTTCATTCGTTGTAAAAATATCAAACTTCTTCCTTGGTATATAACGCGGTGCCGGTAAATATATTTGCCACATCGCTTGTTTCTTTAACCAATCCTTGGCCACATCTTTAGATACCTTAGCCGTGGTGGCTAATTTTGTTATTGCTCCTACACCTTTCCAATATCCTCGTGGGCTATAGTAAATTTTATCCATTATTAATTAATATTGATATTTCTTTTAAAACGACTTTCGTTGAATCACATCACTAATAGAAGCAATGATTGGCCCCAGGTATTGGTGAGCTAGAGCCAATTTAACTTAATCTTATGACTATCATTAAATCGCATCATCATTTTGGCATAAAAAATTCCATCTGTAGTAGCAGTATAGGTATATGAATCCGGCTCCAGTGGAGTTGCGGCAGAACCATCATTACCTATACTACTTATAGCATTATTACTTGTAAACATTCAGTTAGAGATGATTTCAGTTGGTGCCAATACCTTTGGAGCCTCCATGGCTCTAAGCATAATTAGTTTAGTGTTATCATAAGGACTATAATAAGTTGAGCTTAGGAGACCGGAGAGAATTTAATTAGACTTGGTCTTCAGATTAGTAGTTAAAGACTGTGATCGAATTAATTTTTCCTGCCAAACTGAAATTCTAATGTAAATTCAAAAATAAGTTTCCTCACTTTGACAAATAACTTGTTGTGCTCCTCCCAGAATTCCTGGTTCCATTTCCACACTTCCTGCCTGCGCTCCCTATATCTCTTCTCGAGCGGAGTTTCATCGGGTGGTATAAAGTACTTGACTGGGCGGATGTTGGACACTGAATCAGGTGGACCAACCCAGTCATTGGTAGTATTCTCAGGAGGTGTATTTGTCTTCACATTGTGTTGGTTCTAGATGAGTAAAACTGACATTAATAATAATAAAAATGATAACAACAAAAATAACTCCAAATAAGTGAATGTTGTGTTGTGTTAAATTGACCTCATTGATCATGTTGATACATCTTCTTATCCTTACAAACAAAGACATAAAAATAACCACAATTAAAGAAGTAGTGACACATCCCTTATTGGGTGAAACAACACGATATGTATCGCGATAGACATATTTACATCAAATCACATGGAAACATCTTGACTATAAATATTTAAGAGGAGGTTTGGAGTGAACTTGAAAGCTAAATACAACACATTTTGTATTATATGACTGAAAAAAACGCTGTGTGGGATTGGGGGTCATTAAACAAGTACTTTATTTTAGCAAGTGTATCGCCTTGTATCGATACAGAAAAGAATGTATCTCGCAACATATCGTCACATGAAAACACACAATGCACCGGTGCACTGATGTTTAGGTTCACCCCTAATCCCTTCTATACCAAGGAAATGACAATTGGTTGATGAAAATCAATATATTCAATGAATTATTTTTTTTCCATTCAACCATTCTTCCAAAATAAATCGGAAATGCCCAAACAAAAAATGACGTAAGGCATAAAATGTCAGGCTTTTATTACCTAATTGATACTGACAATTAAATAGGTACATGTACTTTCCTATATTAATTCGGGCTGCGACCCGTGAAGATCTGGGGTAGAATAGGTCTTCAGCAACCCATGCTTGCTGTAAAAGGCTACTATGCTTGTCGTAGGACGCGACTAACGGGATCGGTTGGTCAGGCTCGGTGACTTGGTTGATGCATGTCATCGATCCCAATTGTGTGGATTGATGCTCATGATGTCAATCACTGGATTGTCTGGTCCAGACTTGATTATTTACAGACCGCCACCATACAGCTGGAATATTGCTGAGTGCGGCGTAAAACAACAAACAAACCAAAACCAACCCTAGTTCCATTTCCCACATGGGTACAATGAAATAGCTGGAATATTGCTGAAAGCGGCATAAAACCAAACTCACAATATCCATCACAAATGTCCAATGACAGAGAACTTAAACATATTTCAAAGCAAATTCTAATATTGAAGCACTGATGATTCACCTGGACTTGCATCACAAAGCAAATACAAGGAATGACTGTCATAAGTCACTATTAGTATTACTGTAATGCACCACAGCCACCAGCAATCTGCACCATCTCACCAGGAACAGAGGGAAGTCCACTACCTACTGAGTTGAGGTCAGGCTGAGTTTACCTAATCTTGTTGTGAAGTTTCCACAAATCATGCTTGGATGTACCAAGCTACATAGCTAAAATGCAACTGTCCAGGTACTACCTTGATACACTTCCTACTGTGATGGGCCTTGGGACATTTTGCTGATCAGGGCATGATGAGCAGCATTTAGAGAACCTGTATAAAGTGCTCCTTGCTTGCTATTTGTTACATTTTCTGCAAGGAATACAGACACAACTTTGTGCTTATAAGTGTTGTATGAACAGGTAGTTCAGTGATGAACAACAAATTCTACAGATGTTCCTACAGAAACAACAACCAAGGTTAGTGAATACAGCTGATGTTTAATGATCATTTAATCATGTTCATGTATTTCAAGTTTCACATTCAGAGTTCGCAGCAAAACTCTTACCACAAACTTAGTATCCTCTTAAAACTAACTCCTTCTCATGACGAATGTTCATTACTTTCTAAAATGGTCTGTGGTACTGATTATTCAAAATTCTAACACTCAATTTTTGCCAGTTAGTGTTTTCAAACATGATACTCCTGCCCACATTCAAGAAGAAAGTCTATCCAACTCCTATCCTCGTATCAGTTTTACTGGAAATTTCAACTGATCCTTACTGACTTTGTTTACTATACATGTACTGTAGCTTTAGTTTGTTGGTTAATTAATGCCGCACTTAGCAATAAGGGTGAAACTGTACAGCGAGTTTTCATGCGATGATACGATATACTGTTTGTTTTCTGTATCGATACAAGATGATACGCTTGCTTTATAAACTTATTTATTACTTGTTTAGTGACCTTAATATCAAATATTGTAAAATGTTACATAAGTACAGGTGTTTCATATTTTTTGGATCACAGACCCACCAACTCTAATTTTTTAGAAAATGTAAAAAATAATAAACAGATTTCCAATTTTTTTTCCTCGCCGATAGCCGCTTGGTCAGTTATTTTATTTGTTATCATCACCTTTTAATAAAAAACATATGCATTTACCGTTGTAAACTAGAAAAGAGATACATAATTCATCTTTATTGATCTCGAAGCCGAACATGAAGAGCCTCCCTTCACAACTGTCTGTGTGGTAGAATTTTTATTGTTACAAGGGGCTTTATCGTCACAAATGGCGATATTTTGAGCACAGAATATGTCCATAAAGTATGCCAGTGACATTCTGCATTAAAACAAAAATGCATCTGGCTTTTTTCCTAAAAATAAAAAAAGCCTGGCCTAATTAGCGTTTCAAGTTCACAGCTAAAACAAGCTCTTAAGAACATGAGTCTACAGGCAGCTTTTCCTTTTGAACCTGCTCTGAAATATTTATAGTAGGAAGTTTCCACATGATTTGACGCAAATATCTGTATCACGGTACATATCGTATCGTGACCTATGTCTCATCCCATACTTAGCAATATTCCACCTTCATGACTGCGGCCTGTAAATAATTGAACTGCCATCAGGGTACAGTTGTATGCAATCACCACAGTCACAAGGCCTGACTACCAGCACTACAAGTCACGCTGATAGGGTCACTCTCAATCAGGTTACCATCGCAATATTCCCATGTTATAAAACTACATACTGAGCTGTACCCAGCTTTTGGAAATCTCAGAACTGTCTACTTCGTAAATGTATTCTTTTAGACTCGCTTGTAGATGTTAATACAAATGTATAGATGACTGACAAACGGTTTCTTTCCAACTTTTTCACCTCTCTGTGTATTTTGAAAGTGAAATTTTCCTTCTTAAAGGGACAGGACGTCACACGTTTTGAAGCTTTCTTTTAAAACAATAGCCGATAACCCCTGAGCTTACTCGGTTCTGCTTGCCTTATTCTGCAACAGGATATTCTACTCCAGTGACCACCCAGCAGGAGTAGGCTTTTCATGTGACCAGATGTTTCTCTTGTTTGTAAACAAACGCACTTATTCTGAAATAACCTTCAATGTATTCTGAAATAAGAACAGAAGGGCCTAATGCAAGCCTTTTGGTGCGCTTTACATACTGATTTGCATAATTATATATACATGCTACCTCAACAGCAACAGTGAGGTGAATGACAATATAGCTTTACACATCAAAGCGACCATATCACTAGCTCTCCATAGGGCTATGATGACAGCATGTGGAGGAAAAATATGCAAATGAAAGTAGTTTTTCACAGTATAGGACATCTTCTCAACGAAAGTTACGTTTATATAAATGTGTAGACTCGTCAAAACACATGAATGGACTGTGTAGGGTGTGACGATGTGACAGAGATACAAGTTAGGCTGGCCACCAGAAACTTTGGATGGGAGAGTGACTGGCTTCATATGGCCGATGCATATTTATATTGTAATATAGGCGCTGATAAACACTGGCCTCTAATCTAATCAAGCTGGCAATTACTATTTTGTAACTCATTCTTTAGCAAAACACATAAGCTTTCTCTCCAATTTGCCTCTGATTAAAGACATCACTGAAGCTAGTTTACTCTCTGCAGCGCTTGCGTTGTCTGCTTCACCATGTTTTTTTTGTTTGAGAATTGAATCAGGCATATGACATCACACTCCGAAATTATTTCATGCATGATTTAAAAACACACAGAACCGTCAATTTACTGTCCCTTTAAAAACACACAGAACCAATGATGTACTGTCCATTTAACCATATTTACACTGTTGACACAATTTAAGGATAACAACTAGGGCTGGGTAGGGCTGGGACAGGTAACTCTGGTACCTGGGTCGGGTGGGTACAGAGTAGGACCCGGGTACCCACAGAACTACCCGGACCCGTGGTTAGTCACATGATATATTGTTTAATAGACCAAAATTATCTAGAACTCTATGGTTACTCTACAAGTTACTAATGCACCCATTCCTTCTGATTTTTCATATGGTTGAATAAAGATATAATTTCAGTGTATGAATGACCAGACTGTTTAATACATGTATCTAAATACGTTTTGCAAGGGCAATCTAAACATGTTCCCAATCGGATATTTTGAGACATCTCCTGAGACCTACAGTGGGTAGCCGGGTAGGGTCGGGTAATAGGGGGGGTGGGTACCCGGGTAGTAAAGTTGGACTCGTCCAAGCCCTAATAACAACTTCTTTAATTTCTGTAAAAGTTACATTTTGGTATAGACCCTTATACCGTTGACAAGCAAGGTTGAATGATGAGCATGGTACAGAATATAAATAGAAGATGGAGGATTGTGGTACAGAATACATATAGTAGATGTGCCGTGGGAACAGATTAGATATGTTGTCAACTTCTAAGTAATGCCTATCAAGCAATTCATATTACGTTGTTGTCCACTGTGATCATGGTGATCACAAGTTTTGTTTTCACATGGCGTTGGTTGCAATTGAGACTATGTGTTGTGACTGGGTTATCATGGTTTTTGGCAAGAAAAATGTCCATGTCGTCATTGCCAACATTAACAATAAACACCTCTGCTTTTCCCCTTTCATCCTTCTAATCTATTCCGACCTGTAATCTCAAGGGCACGGCAATAGACCTGGGAAAACATGACCTTCTTAACATGTGTACTGTTTTCTGAATACCATAATACTAATGAAATATTAAAGCAAGTAACACCTTAGCATTGATAAGCGTATGAAATAACTTGATGTCGATCTGAACAAATATATTTGGGAGAAATAAAACTTTTGAAAATGCAAAATCCGTGAAACAGCTATTATACTGACCTCTCTCGTGGTTTGAGTTGCACTCGTCCTGTACAGTTGTAGGTTAGCAAGTGATATGTATCTGTATGATGTACTTGTAAGACTGTTTCCACAGAGAAAATGGAAAACAACCCGACAATTCATTTTCTAGCAGACTACATTCAAGGTAGGTAACTCTGTGTGACTTCGTGTATTCTAAATTATTCTGTTGAAAAGAAAGTGTCTGAAATGATACAACATGTGGTAAATATTAGCGTGATACATTTACATCAGACTGGATAGCCATTGTGAAGAAAATGCAAAGGTACTACACAAATCATGAATGGAAACATAACACCCGACAACATGCCACTTGTTTTCGTTGTGGGCAGAGGGCGCACTGTTCAGGGGCAGGTAACTCTCATATACACTGGAGTCGTGTTCATCAAGAAAATGTATTAGCTGTTTGTTTGGCTCTAATGTTTCTCTGCTCTGAGACATGAAGATATATTGCCGTCTACTTCGAGAAGAATAGCATAAAAATGTGGTTGTCCGCAACTGCCACCACATGCAGCGAGTCACGCGATCACACAGCTGGATACAGACTTGGCCACAAATACTGATTCAGTGATTGTGTTTTTCAACTTCAGTGAATGACAGTGGGATTGCTTGAATGAATCAGCTTTTGTCTCGCTGACAGCCTTACTGGAAAAAATACAAAACAACAGAAAGTCGTGCTCTATATCATGCAAGGTATACATTCCAAGATTAGAAAGACAAATTCGTGGTAGCATTGTCATAATCACGACCATGAATAATGATTCATCATTTTCTGATTTTTCATCTCCACACCATGTCTACAGTTTTTAAATAGGTTTAACAAGGTTTACTCCAGCACACCAGGCATTTGGTGGGAATAATATGGGATGGGGAAAGTTTTTATGAAACGTGACTCTATTTCTTTAATCTTATGTTTTTCAATATTTTCAAACTAATTATCATATAAGGAAGAGAATATAGAAGTTGACATCCATATATTCTCTTCCTTATGTGTATCACTTCTAAATGCCTGTCAAAGAGCTAATTATCACATAATGTTGAATAATTAAATTATATTGAATTTAGACATTACAATGTATTCATTGTTACTTTTAAATATACAGTTTTCCCACTTTTCAAATTTTGTTTTGGGAAACAGCACACGTTTCTGTCAAACATCTTGGAAATTGTAGCTGAACATTTTCTAGTTTTTCAATTGATAGCCTTACAGGGTTGCATGAAGAAGGGATCTTTTAGTTGCAATATTTCAATATTTGGCAAGATTTTATTTGACTGGGTTCAGCTGCAGGCTGTGGCACTTGCTTGCATGCTACCTCAGTCATTAGGGTTAGTTGTATCAGGATTACAGTAGTTACCCCCAACTATGTCCTTAATCCTTGGATCCCTTTTCCAATCAAGCATCCCTTAAAAAGGGTTAGGTACCCATTTTTGATCATGGGTGATATTGTTTGAATATTGCTAAAAACGGCTTAAACAATATCCACTCACTCTCTCTTCCTCTCTACATGCATGCATCCATCCATACACACACACACACACACACACACATACATACATACATCACGGTTCGCCCCGATTATGTTTCTAGGTTTGTCAGCACCATACCCGTGCTCATGGGTTTCACCGAAGTGGTAAACATCCGAGACCTGCATCACTTCGGGCTTTCCTCCCACATTAAGCTGACACGCCACAATATTACTGGAATACTGTTAAAAGCGGCATTAAACCCAACTCACTCACACCGTATCATGTTCATATTGTTGTAGCACATAACAGAGGTGTTAAGTAGGGTTGGTTTGTTCACAAGATTATGTTTAAACATTTTTCTACATGTTATACACATGTGTGAAAAAAGCTCTTCCTGTTACCAGTATCAAAGGTTAACATACTTGTGAGTCTACATTAGTGATATCACTGGTTATGAGTTGTTTATTTTTAACTATTTATCAACACACGGCTAAACCACATATTTCATCATAACCCATCCTATCCCTTCTCAAACCTTTTGATTTGTTACAAGAGACACACATGTTCTGACAATAACAACATCCTAGCCTGTAAAAGGCACATATTTCAGATGTCTGCTTACTGTGTGGGACCATCATATCTTGTAACAAGCATTCAGTTATAGGTGACTTCTATCATGCTCTTCTGAAACAGTTTCCATCAAATACATGATGTAATATTTTTAAATAACTGTTGAGATGTTATATAAGTGTCACACACACAGAAACTGGCAAAAGATCGGAAACTTGTGTACAGAGTACTGAACATTCTCTGCTCTAAGACAAGTAACAAACTTTGTTGTTTGAAGCATAAATTTACTGTGGTGTGTGTGTCTACGATATATATGATTAGAGGTGTTTCTGATAACGTTTCGACCCGCTTGCCTCCAGCTCGGAGACGCCGCCCGGACCAAGAGCTTCGTATCCCCTCCCAAGATGAGATTCCCCCGCGCAGTGGCCATGTGGCGGCTTGTGTGGACATGAAGCTGCTGGTATGGGGAGGATATCAGGTGAAACATTCTGTCATTACACTCAGGACACCAGTACATGCCTTAAAGAGGACAGGACCCATGAAGATCCGGGGTAGAATAGGTCTTCAGCAACCCATGCTTGCCATAAGAGGCGACTGTGCTTGTCGTAAGAGGCAACTAATGGGATCGGGTGGTCAGGCTGGCTGACTTGGTTGATGCATGTCATTGATACCAATTGTGTTGATCGATGCTCATGGTATTCATGGTATTAATCACTGGATTGTCTGGTCCAGACTTGATTATTTACAGACCGCTGTCATATAGCTGGAATATTGCTGAGTGGGGCGTTAAACAACAAACCAACCAACTAAATAGGATAGTTGACTGAGACTTGTAACTAGACATCATTCTATCTGACTACTGTAGTAAACTTAGAAAATGAGATGTTGTGAAAGATAACATCAGTCTGTGCCCAATACTTTTGAGGCTTCTAGCCTGAACTCGGTTCATGGCATCATTTTCAGTAGAGATTCGTGATATGATATGGATTATTAGCTGAGCTTACTAGTAAGATGGAACATAATTTTACCAGACCTGGTCTTTGGGCTAGTGGCTAAAATCTGAGTACTGTAAAGTTGACACTTGGCACAGTGAATCCTGATCCTGATATTCAAAAACATATTTTAGCAAAAATTATGTTTGGAATGTCTGCTAGTATAATGAGGGTTGTTTTCATTATGATCTTTTAGTATTTGCCAGTACAAATGAATTCCATGGGACCAGAACTATCTATAGTAGCAGGACATAACTGAATCATTGTATATTACTAATATTTAATATGGGAAAATTACTTTGTAGAATATAAGGGGTTCTTTTTTCATTTCTCTCGCAGGATATTAAGCTAAGTGATAAACTAGTTAGTAAGGTGTATATGAGCTATGCACAACATGTTTTGATTGTTTTTAAATATCAAATTACTGGTACTTTTACCTTTACCATGTTTACTCTGGCCACAATGATGACATCATATTTGTGTTATGAAACATACCAAAAGAAGCCTAATGTTCAACAAGTCGACTCTGAGTGAGACACTGACAGTCACTGTTTTCAATATGTTATGTAAATTGTATTGTACAAGATCTAGGACATAGACATTTTATGATAGTTTGGCTGTTGTTATTTACCCTGTGGACAACTTGACAAAACTTCAAATTTTGTTACATCAATTACATGTCTGTAAAGGATTGACCGTTTGATATTGGGGGCAAGGGGGGCTGCAACTCTGTATGGAGACTGTTTATTCTCTCATCTACAGCTGCAAAAGCAAATATTTCAAAAATAATTTCTAACTCATCCTGCAAACAATGTATTTTATTTGGCAGATAATTTCTTTTTTTTTCAACAGTCTGTATTGTAGGTAAACTATATTTTTGGGGGATAAATTCCCAGCCCCTTCCAGCCCCACCCCCCACCTCCAGAATATCAAATGGTTGGTTCCTAAGTATTTTGATTATTAATTCAGTGGATACTTTCAAAAGAAGTCTTTTCTAAATTAATTTTGAATGGATGTGTAATTTATGTACACAGGATGAAAATACCTACGAAGATCGGTACCTTCCGTCTAATGACCTCTGGTGTTACAGCGTGGACTTTGACAAATGGTAAGTTTGAATAACTATTACAACTTCAAAATTAATGTCTTGTTCATATTTTGATGAGGTACATATAAATACTAAACTCGCACCCGTGTAATACTAATTTTATGAAACGAGTGAATAGGTCTGGTATTTCACAAGCGAAAGCGAGTCAGATAACAGAACTATTAACGAGTTTCCTAAATTTGGTATTACACGTGAGCAAGTTTAGTATTTTATTTATTACTTGCCATTTACAACTTTTTTAGAATTTCACTGTCGTGTATGAATAGGCAGACACTTACATGATCCACAAAGTAATTGAGTTTAACATAATAAAATTTCAAACACGTTGAAGTGTGGACAAATGTGTTGACACATATTAATTTAATACCGTACAACGGCCCACCTTTAGAATTCAGGTGTCCGTTCCACAAAGTTATCGTAGCGCTAAGGTTATTGTAACTCAAATACTTTAACAGAAACTTACGACTGTCGCCTTGTGGAACGGGACCTGCACCACAAAGTTTACTGTCACATAACAATACTCTATGACATGATTTGTGGAATTTTGTTGCAAGATCCACCGGCGAAACAATACCATGTGATGTCAGACTACCAACAGGGTTGCTGGGGTCATTGAGTGTGCATAAGCTCCTCTCAGTGATCTATCATCTCCTCACGCATTGTCGTTGAATAAGCCAAGAGATGTTGAGAGTTTTCAATGTTTGTTAGTGTAACTTGTTCCGGCAGTACATAAGCATGTGCTTTGGTATTACACAATGTGTAATACAGCTGTATGTTTGTTAAACAGGTCATCTCTTCACGGGCAAGTTATAATAGTATTTATAGTTTCAAACTGAAATGTGCCACATTCTCATTCCTGATTATGAAGGTACCACATGGAAATTACAATTTGTTTTTATTCTTGTGGTGACAAATGTGGGCTTTATAACAGTATGGGTGCTTTCATCAATAGGTGGGAATGCTACATAATTTCTTTGTGCCGTGTTGATCCTCTGGATCAAAGTTATCTTGTATAATTATATATTAATTCTTCTGTGACTGTATGAGAAAATATTGATACACAAGGAATGTACTGCGATATGTGTATTGCTGACACCTGTTTTGCAATATACCGGTATAGCAGTTATACCGCACACCCCTAGTAGGTGTACATGTCTTATTGACACAGGGTATTTCCTTCCTTTTCTGTCACAAGTGAACTTTATTTTGTGTTGGTTATACTGATCACTTGGTAACTCATCCCCTACAATAACGAGCCTCATCAGCAGCAACATCGCCTTGGCTGCTCATGAACTCTCACTGGTTTGGAGACTTCTGACGTTGCCTTACCACCGGGTGGTGCAGTATGTGGCACCACATCTGCAAGCGCAACTTCACCAGGCGCTGCATCAACCAGCACAGCCTCATCTGGCACCTCCTTTCCCTGCAGTTCAGGGGTAATTCATAAGCACCGCTTCCGTGGTCTAGTGGTAGAGCGTCCGCCCGTAGAGTGGAAGGTCCAGGGTTTGATCCCCGGCCGCATCATACCAAAAGACGTTAAAAGATGGTACTTGTTGTTACCCTGTCTGGCGCTCGGCATTAAGGGGCTAAAACAAGGACTGGTCGACTCGGAGTCAGTATACTGTGTCTTAGTGGGATATTCATGTTAAACTGCGGCATGGTATCTCAGTGAGCTAGCACTATAAATCGGCATCAGTCCGGACTAGTACAAGCAGCAACACACACAAACACACACACGTACATGCACGGCGCTATAGAAGTGCAATAATCTTGGACGCAACGTTAAACCCAATTTCACCTCACCTCACCTAATTCATAAGCAGTTCTGTTTGCAATTCAGATGTGGAAGCACTCCTTCGGGGCACACATCTCATGATAGCGACAGACAGGCACCCACTCACTTGCAGTCTTCTGGATCTTGACTTTGCATTCTTCAGTCTCTAAAACAACATGTCGTTCCACGGGTTCATGTCGCATCCACATTGGTACACCTTACTGGCCCAGTCAGACGTGGGCGCTCCATCTGCTCCAACTCGCCAGATTTCCCCATATTTCAAGTCCTGTTCAGAAATGCACAAACACGTCAACCGCATCTGTGTCGTTGACTCTGTGTTTGTGGTCCATCAACCAGCACAGCCTCGTCTGGTACCTCCTTTCCCTGCAGTTTCAAGTCCTGTTCAGAAATGCACAAACACGTCAACCGCATCTGTGTCGTTGACTCTGTGTTTGTGGTCCATCAACCAGCACAGCCTCGTCTGGTACCTCCTTTCCCTGCAGTTTCAAGTCCTGTTCAGAAATGCACAAACACGTCAACCACATCTGTGTCGTTGACTCTGTGTTTGTGGTCCATCAACCAGCACAGCCTCGTCTGGTACCTCCTTTCCCTGCAGTTTCAAGTCCTGTTCAGAAATGCACAAACACGTCAACCGCATCTGTGTCGTTGACTCTGTGTTTGTGGTCCATCAACCAGCACAGCCTCGTCTGGCACCTCCTTTCCCTGCACAGGTTCAGTGGTATCAGCCATGGATGACAGGTAGCTGCATACCAGCTATCTTATCAGCTTCCCTCTACCCGCAACAGGTGCTGCCTCGTCAAGCAGGATGAAATCACCTGCAGCTCTTACATAAACAACTGTTTGGTGGGCGATCCCTTGTCTCTGCTGCGTCGCAAACAGATCACCTTCTCCTTAAGCAGATTTGGTGAAGCACGAATTTGCTGTGCAGAGTTATGTCCCCTGGGCTTGCCAGAAACCTATGCTCATAGGTTTGAATCCCGGTTTGCCTGATATTGTTTATAGGTTTGTCAGCACCATACCTGTGCTTGTGGGTTTCACCATGATGGTATTTGTCTGAAACATGTATCACTTCGGGCTTTCCCCACACATTAACCCATGACACAGCTGACACGCCATGTTATAACTGGAATACTGTTCAAAGCAGCATTAACACAACTCACACACTCCTTCATCAGCTAGAGTGGCAGGTCAACTTGTCAGAGCCTCCAGTTCATTGGGGGCTTTTCAAGAAGCGTTAAGGACTCTTCCTTGTCCCACTGGTATATTGGAACTTGTTTCAACGTCAGGTCCATGCAGGTCTGTCCTCTGGCCTCCGGATCCACAGGCAACGCCTGCGCTGCCTGCTCACCTTGGGTCAGGATTCCACAGGCTGCAGGCGTCTTCAGCTCTGGTCTCTTTAAATCTTCCTGCGACTGTGGTTCAACTGTGACATGGCCAACCATGTTCGGATACTCCCTGACTTGCTGTGGCCCTACCTCTAATGGTGGAGCCTCGAGTCAAATGTCTTTGCAGGGGTCTCTTTGATAAGCTTCATTTTGACTCACCATCTTTCATTGACGCTTTTAAAAATAGGGATGGGGCACCCATCTCGGGACCTTATAGGCCTCCGGGCTGTGGACAGCTCCATTTCACCTTTACATCAACTGTATGCTTTTCAGATGTGGAAGGCGCTCCTTCGGGGCACACGTCTCATGAAAGCGACAGCCAGGCACCCACTCACTTGCAGTCTTCTGGATCTCAACTTTGCATTCTAAGTCAACATGCCGTTCCACGGGTTCTTCCGAAACTGGCGTCCACATTTTGCCAAACTTATTGGCCCAGTCGGACACGGCTGCTCCATCTGCTCCTGATTTCCCCGTATTTCAAGTCCCGCTCAGACTTGCACATACACGTCAACCGCATCTGAGTTGTTGACTCTGCATGTGTGGTCCATTTACAAGAGGTGCATATTTCCAGGGGTTTCTCATCCCTTCAATATTGCCCTGCTGACTTCCTCTGTCTTGGCCTAATGACACAGAGGAAATCTGCTTTTGCCCAGTATGTTCATTGCGCCGTTACATTGATGTTACGGTGGAGAGATAAGTTAAAAAATAGAGGCAATCAGAGTATTCCCCTTACATGCTTATCCTGACACAACAGGTCGTGACTGCCTGCCCGTCCATTACCTCTAAGTTTGGATCAACTTGTCGATTTCTACAGGCAATCATTGGAATACATTGGTTGGTTGGTTGGTTGGTTGGTTGGTTGGTTGGTTTGTTTGTTGTTTAACGCCGGACTCAGCAATATTCCAGCAATATGTCGGCGGTCTGTAAATAATCGAGTCTGGACCAGACAATCCAGTGATTAATATCATGAGCATCGACCCACGCAATTGGGACCGATGATATGCATCAACCAAGTCAGCGAGCCTGACCACCCGATCCCGTTAGTCGCCTTTTACGACAAGCATAGTCACCTTTTACGGCAAGTATGGATTGCTGAAGACCTGTTCTACCCCAGAATCTTCACGGGTCACAGGAATACATGACAAGTAACACAGGATTATGCTATTTCTCAGGACAGTTTAGATGATAGTCAGAATCCCATCTGTCCAAAGTGATGTCCATGTTTACTGGATTCACAAGCATGAAACTGGTAAATGTAAGAACTGATTCCTTAGACTTCATAAGATACAGATTAGATACATCAAGCTGATCCGCTGTGAAATATATCTGAGATAGAAAAGTCACATTCAGTATGACTCATTCACTGTGTCTCTTGTTCTTCAGGATCCGCAATACCACCCATGGGACCCGCCCTCCCGGGACGTCTGGCGCTTGCTGTTGCGTCCTTGACAGCTTCTTCTACGTGGTGTTTGGTCACACTGACTTCGGCAACACCAACAAGGTGTACAAGCTGAACCTACAGACGATGACCTGGAGCAAGTTACCTGCCATAGAGCGAGCCCCAAGCCCTAGAGACAAGTTTGCCTTGTGGACGTATGAGAAAAGGTATGTTTTCTAGGCGAGACCAATTTTCCGCGTCTGTATGCAAAAATAGCCAAGGAAGTATACTTGTAAAATGATGAGAACTGTCAAACGTAGATGTGAGGTTAATTTCATTAAAAACATGTCTCAGAATAACAATTTTATAAACTTACAAACAAAGGATGTTTAAAGAGTTAGGTTTTATTTAAACTCCGTTTTTGCAATTTTTTAGTTGACTTTGTATTTTCTGTTCAAGGTTTATTGCCACACATACATGTACTTATTCTTGTCATCTTCCTAAGGCGAGGGAGTTAACTGACTGTAAAAGTCCAGTTCCCACCTTTACCGAACTAGGTTGGAATTTCTGAGCTCGATCATAGTGCCACCAGTGACTATTACAAGTTATAACCCTTCTATGTCCTTCCTACTCACCAATCAGATTCCACCTCAAACAAACAAAATGGTGGTGTCAAGTCAAGATGATCATGATGATCTGATTGATAATCAAAGTCTGTATTGTGATAATCAGATCACATGAGCATTTTGATTAAACACATGAAAAGATTTAGAGTGTGAGTGAGTTGGGTTTAACGCCGCTTTTAACAGTATTCCAGTTATATCGCGACGTTTCAGCTTAGTGTGGGAGGAAAGCCCGAAGTGATGCAGGTCTCAGACGTTTACCACTTCGGTGAAACCCACGAGCACGGGTATGGTGCTGACAAACCTAGAAACATAATCGGGGCGAACCGGGATTCGAACCCACAATCATAGGTTTCTGGCGTGCCCAAGGGACGCAACTCTGCACAGCGAAGCGCAGCGCCTTAGACGACTGGGCCACCCGTGCCCCCGAAAAGATTTAGAGAATTCTTGTTGACGCTGAGTTGGCGGTACACATGATTTGCAAATCCTGCAATCGACCAAAGTCTGAAAGGCAGTTTAAGAACCAGATGTCAATTTTGTTACGGGATTTTGATTGGACTATACATTGACTTGTTAGTCCAGCCAAAATATAACTCCATATTTCCATCCTATTTAGCAAGGGTGGAAAGTGGACTTTTTTAGTCAGTTAACTCCCTTGCCTCAGGAAGATGGTTCCAGCTAGATCAGCTTGGTATTTCATAAGCTGCATTTGCTTATATCATTATCTCCAACTGTGTACCATCCATTACTGAGGAGCTTTGCATCAGTATCCATAGTTTGATCTTTAAATCAGCCTTTTTTCTCATGAAGAACTTGTTACAATGTCTTCTGTTAATTTTATGCAATATAATCTTTTTCTAAGTGATTGAGACTAAGTTATTAAAGAATGCACTGTTTGCTACAGAATCTACTGTTTTGGAGGATTTGGTGTCCCCATACAGGAATACCTGTGTGAGAATGGAGACTTTGTGGCGGACACTTCGGGGGACTTCAATGTACCGGTATGTCTTTAAGTCACTGAGGATTATTCATGCATGTACTGTACACTACTACAGTTAAGTAGCTGCCATGTGCAGTATGCAACGTGTTACAGAAGTACATACAGTCATCTTTCATTCATAATTAGTTACAGTTACATGAGTTTGAGAATACTGAGATCTTTGGTAGAGACTAGCATGGAAGAGTGTATTTGAGTATTCTGTTTGTTTGCTTGTTTGGATACGATGACATTCATCAACCAAGTCAGCGAGCCTGACCACCCAATCCCATTAGTCACCTCATACGACAAACACAGTGGCCTTTTATGGCAAGCATGGGTTCCTGAAGACCTATTCTACGCCGGATCTTCATGGGTAGAGTATTTTGTACTGGTTGTGTTAGATGCACATATTAGTAAAGCGTAATAACTTTTTAATTTCAATACTGACTCAAATATAACTAAATGGTTAGGCTTGGTACCTTGGTTGTTTGCTTGTCATCGGACCTTGACCACATAGAATGTTTCGCATAATATCAACCAGATGATCTTCTGGTCTATAATTGACTCCTGCAGCTGTCGTATAGCTGGAATAGTGCTGACTGCAGCGATACACAGCATTCACTCACTCACTCCTTCCAGAATTATGTATTAACATATTACTTCTGTTTGTAGCGGTTCTTCCCAGACCGAGGTTGGAACAATCAATTGTTGGTGCTGGACTCCAGCAATGATGAGTGGTCAAATCCCAAGTGCAGGGTATGTCTGGGGGTGACTATTGGTCTGGAAATCACTATTGTGATAACTATTGATACTGAAAGAAACTATTGCGATAACTATTGATATGGCAAGCAACTATTGCGATAAATATCGATAGTTTTCAGTGTATCCATTTAGATGGATTTTAGAGTTGAATTAAACCTTGGAACTGAAGTTTCCTTTGAATGTGATAACCATAACAACAAATAAAAATATGACTGATTTGTTTTTTCTTTACCCTAATAATTGAAGAAAAAGAAACTTCCACATTACCATGTGTAAATTACTACCACTCATGATCAAAAGAAAAACAAATTTGAACAGCATTGCATGTATTTTTTTTGATATGGTAAATGCCATCGAAACTATCGATATTCCTAACTGAAAGTGATATAATTGATTGGAAACTGATTTAACAATCGATTTATTGACTTTGGGTGCTAACCAATAGCAATACCAAGTTCGATTTATCGTGACACTCCTAGGTATGTCCATATATAAATACCTGCTCATCTAGTAATATTTTGAAATTCCTGAAATGGTAGAATGTTTGAAATTATTTTTTGGAATCCCCTACCATAATGTGGCTGGAATATATCTAAATAAAAACCCACTCCACAATCCTGATGGTCAACTAATGAGCACTTATCAGCAGATCTTTGATGTATGCTTTAAGAAGTTATAAGATATATGGTGAAACATGAAATATTGATTTCAATTTCTTCATCCACAAAACATTCTCTCAGTCACTTCATCCTCCTTCATCGGATGAACCCAGGTGAAGGTTGTTTGTGGGGACTCGAGTCATTGATGGGGGGGGGTCAGGTAGCCTAGTGGTTAAAGCGTTCGCACGTCACGCCGAAGACCCGGGTTCGAATCCCGACATGGGTACAATGTGTGAAGCCCATTTCTGGTGTCCCCCGCCGTGATATTGCTGGAATATTGCTTAAAGCGGCGTAAAACCAAACTCACTCACTCACTCACTCGAGTCATTGATAGTGACGTGACTACGATTGGTCAGCAGATACACTGAAGAAATAACTGTGAAAATGACGCCTTATACAATCTATTGACTCACTGTCTGTCATTAAAAACAATTCTTTCAGTGTTTCTGATCTGTTCATTTCCTAGGATATTGACAGATATCTACGCAAATGTCCTAAGAATATTTTTCAAATTTGGTAATGATAACGAAGAATGTCATATCAAAAGTTTATAAAAAATTGCCTAATGGTTAAAGTGTTTGCTCGTCAGACCAAAGACCTGGGTTCAATTTCCCAGATGCAATGTGTGAAGCCCATTTGTGGTGTCTCCCTCCATTTTATTGCTGGAATTTTGCTAATAGCTGCGTAAAACCATACTCATTCATTATAAAATTGTGGGGGCGGTGGAGTAGCCTTAGTGGTTAAAGTGTTCGGTCATCACGCCAAAGGCCCAGGTTCGATTTCCCAGATGCAATGTGTGAAGCCCTTTTGTGGTGTCCCCGGCTTTGATATTGCTTGAATATTGTTAAAAGCGGCATAAATCCATACACACGCAATATGAAATTGTGAAAATGTCCTTGTCTCCATGAATATCACTTTCTAATGTTTCTTATTTAAATATCTTCACTTGTTCAAGAACAAATATTTAGTTTTTTTAGACCTGGAAGGTGTCAGTACCAAAATTTAAAAGTCAACAATTTGAAATTCACATTTTTCGTCTTCATTGTGATGGTCTGTGGTGTCTTTGATTTCTGGTCCAATTTTGGTTTTGTGTTTTAACATGGTTTTAAGGGAATGTCAATTGTTGATATGTTATCCTGAATCAATCAATCATTACCTCATTGATTATTTTGAAGAGACACATTCTTATACATTGTTATTGGGATGTGAGATATAGGAAGGGAAATGTAACTCATCACTGTTTCAATACATAGGGCCCGGTACCCCTGCCTCGGGCTGCACATGGGGTGGCGCAACTAGGAGATAAGGTGTACTTATTTGGAGGACGACATCTGACTGCGAGGATGAACGACCTTCACTGTCTTGACCTTTCAACCTTGACCTGGAGTGGAGAGTAAGTTGCGAAGTGTAAAAGTAGAAGGAACACCATTTCTTTCTTTCAGAAGATTGAATGTGTGTGCATGCATAGACGACTTAAATAGCTGTACATGATGATGCTTCTAAATCATGTTGTGTCCTCAATGAGGCGTTGTTGTGAGGTAGGTGCCCGTGCAATGGTCACCTGATACTGACTGTCATCTACCCCACCATTCTTCAAAACGCTATAGAAATAGTGTTTGAAATAATTATAAAACCCAACAAGACAGTCAGGCAGGTGATCCATAAGTGTTCTTCAAAGTTACCTGCCCGCATTCAGACAATATAAATATTTTAAAATCACAAAACCTAAGAGGCAAATTGTGTTTTGACTCAGTTGAAATAATGTTAACAATTACTTGAGAATCTACAATGAGTTATGATAAACTGAAAACATATGTAGTCTTAACAGTCAGACAGACGGGCAGGTGGAGGAAAATTTCTTGCAGCCCAACAATAAAGTTACTAGCCACGGGCAGGCTTGCTGGCAGTTATATTGGACACTGTATAGAAACCCTGTCTTGCACACCTGCTTTGACATTCTCATGTTGATTCCATTTTGCTTGGATCGACAATCATGTGGTTGTTGAAAATAATAATATGTTTTTCTTCCAGACTGACGTGTTCGACGGTGATCCCATGTGGCCGATCATGGCACACACTGACCCCAGTCTCACACAACCACGTCTTCCTGTACGGGGGGTACACCCAGGATCAGAAACCTCTCAGTTAGTAATATCTGTATTTAAGAATTAACATCAGTACTTTTTGTGTTTATAAATGAACAAAAAAATTATGTGCTTAACAAACGAGCTGTTTACAACAGTATGAAATCAGCGACACCATTCAGCACGATAATGCAACACAAGCTCCACCTATTCTTTTATCAGCCAATCAGAAAACAGTTGTCCGTTTATGGATACATACATGTTAAAGCAATTGGTGGCTTAGCCAGTCGAATGCATCTTCCCGAGGCAAGGGAGTTAACTGACTACCAAAATCCAGTTTCCACCCTTGCCGAACTAGGCTGGTATTATGGAGTTACATTTTGGCTGGACTAACGAGTCTATGCATTGTCCAATCAAAATCGCGCAACGAAATCCAAATCAGGTTCGTAAACTGTTATGCAGATTTCGGTCGATTGCAGGATTTGCAAAGCATGTGCATCGCCAACTCGTTGTCAACAGATATTTACCTAATCTTTTCATGTTTTTAATGAAGGTGCTCACGTGATTTGATGCACTACGCAATGTAAGACCCGTGTTATCCCAATATAGATCTTTATTATCGAACAGATCGTCTTGACTGGATTGTCTGGTCCAGGATTGATTATTGATTATTGATATGCTGTCTCATGCTGAATATTAGCAGAGTTCCCATTTACCGTTAATTACCAGGTTCTTTAACTGGTAATATTAGGCTAAGATCACTAATTCATGTTACTGCCAGTCCCTGTTGACCGGCAAATAAAGTACATGTACCTTATAAATTAGGGGGCACTGTTCAAAAGCCAGCAGGAATGCTGATTAGAATGTTTTACACGAAGAAAAGTTAATGTTTGACTTGTTTCCATCAGTACTTTAGTTGCGAACTCCTTCCACTGACTCACTCACTGTTGACAGGTGATGCGTGGGTACTGGACGTCGATGTGTGTCAGTGGACACAGCTCGTCATCCCACAGAACAACCCTCGCCTCTGGCACACAACAGCGCTGTCCTCGGGCAATGACATCCTCATCTTTGGCGGCTGTTGTGACGACATCCTCAGCCATCAGGTTAATGTATGTTTATCTTTTGTATTTGAGGCTGACATTTTTGGATACGGGTGACATAGGTCCCCAGTACCCAATACTTGTTTCCAGGTCAGAATACCCCATCCTTGTCTCTCTGTGGAGATCCAGGTCAGAATAGGTCCCTAATACCCAATCCTTGTCTCTCTGTGGAGATCCAGGACAGAATAGGTCCCCAATACCCCATGGTTGTCTCTCTGTGGAGATCCAGGTCAGAATAGGTCCCTAATACCCCATGGTTGTCTCTCTGTGGAGATCCAGGTCAGAATAGGTCCCTAATACCCCATCCTTGTCTCTCTGTGGAGATCCAGGTCAGAATAGGTCCCTAATACCCCATGCTTGTGGAGATCCAGGTCAGAATAGGTCCCCAATACCCCATGCTTGTCTCTCTGTGGAGATCCAGGTCTGAATAGGTCCCTAATACCCCATGCTTGTCTCTCTGTGGAGATCCAGGTCAGAATAGGTCCCCAATACCCCATGCTTGTCTCTCTGTGGAGATCCAGGTCAGAATAGGTCCCCAATACCCCATGCTTGTCTCTCTGTGGAGATCCAGGTCAGAATAGGTCCCCAATACCCCATGCTTGTCTCTCTGTGGAGATCCAGGTCAGAATAGGTCCCCAGTACCTCATGCTTATCAAAAGAACAAACTAAACTTGGGATCAGGTGGCCAGGCTTGGTGACATGGCAGATTTCATATCATCATGCCCCAATGGTATCGATAGTTGCTCATTCTTTCAATCACTGTTTTTTCTGGTCCAGATTTCATTAGGTACCGGCAGCCGAGATACAAATTGAATATTGAAGAGTGTGACCGACACTAGACACTGTTCATTCACTGAAGGTGACCAGAGACCCTCTTCCCAGTAACTTGTCAGTGTGAGTTTATACCATATCGAGGTGGATTGTAGCTCACGCTATTGACCACTGGTTCGACTGATCTAGGCTTTATCACATTACAGGTTGTTCTGATAGAGTTGTATAGTGCCTTACTCGCTTGCACTTTCATTTTATTCAATGTTTTTTGTTTTTCTTTCAGGAACATTCGAACAAAATTCTAGCATTTAGATTACAGCCAAAATCTCTCCTAAGGTAAGGCTTGCAGCACTTATTTGTTTCATTTCAGTGTCTATAATATTAGTCAGTATTTGGTGAGACTTTTACACAAGTCTTCTTTGATTGAGCAGCTCTTATTTACCAGTGCAGGTTTTGGGTAGATTTATTTAGCATATGAGCTTTCTATGAGTTATCCCAACAACTGTGTCTCTAAAAGCCCGTCACAGAATTTTTATTGGAATTTCAACATGGGCACCATGGTTGCCACAGTAAAAATATCAGTTTGGTCCAAAACTCAACCAATTCTGTGTGTATCATACTGTGGTTTACCATAATATGTGTTTTGGGTATATTTTGAGTTTTGACAGCGTCCATTTTGGAACTCATTAATGGCTATTAATTGGCTATCTTTTTTCAAAATGCATGTCGCTATATAAGCTATCTTGACGGGCCATTAAACCCCATTTCACCTCACCTCATCTCTACAGCATCATAGTTGTAAATACTGTCAGTCATGGGGAATACAAATTTAAGCAGGTGCAGAATGAGGAGAAAATAACACAAAGTAATCTTAATCCCTTTATGTGAAACAATGCCCAGCTGAAAATAAATACAATTTAAATGGTAAATCAACATGTCTGGTGATTTTTTTTATCTAAAATTTCAAACTGACTAAGTTTCTTATCACCTGTTCATTTACCAAAACTCACTGAAGTGGTACGGTGTAATTTTTTTCTGCGCATAATATTCGAAAAAGTTTTTTTTTTAAATACTGAATCCGCTAGAGGGGGTAGCGCATTATACTTGGGTTCGCAATATACTGAAGAAAATATGGTATTTATAATCTTTCTTAAATATATTTTTTTCAGGTTGTGTCTGGAGACAGTGTTCAATTATCGCATTGAAACTCAGCCATCTTGGCCTTACCTCCCTTCTATCCTCAAGAAGTGGCTGGACACCAAGTTAAAGTGTTCACGAACTGTTCAAACCGTCAACCAGCCGCAACACAACAATAAGGAACAGGCTTCCACCTGTGAGGTCACATGACCCTGGATGAGGTCATGACCATAGATAGCCCTTCCGAACTATGTGTGGCACAGATTGTGATTTTTAGGTTGTAATTTATTCAGTTGTGTAACTGCTTTTAGTGATAATACCCACTGTGTAACATGTGATCCGAGTGCACATTGATTGTGGTTGAATGGAATACTGTATTCGACGTAATAAGCGCAACGGGGCGCTCTCAAAATTAGAAATAGGGGGCTCTGATTGGAATATTATTTTGGTGAAAAAAACAGAGTTGAAAGTTTGTAAATTTCGTTGTTTATGCTGACAACCTGAAATGTTTATATACGACATATATATTTTTCCAGGATTTAATTGCCCATAATTAAGGGTGCATGTAACACACAAATGCCTATTATACACGAATAAATAAGTCTTGTGTACAATGATCAGAGGGGTGCTAATTGAGATTGTTCACAAGCCAATATATTAGCAAATATCGCCGTGGGCGCTTATTAGAGCGGGGCACTTATTACGTCGAATACGGTAGTTGTCCAGGGGCCCGTTCCCCAAAGCAATCGTAGCGTAAGGGTGATCATAACTCTCATACTTTAACATTGACTTACGATCTTCCTAGCACTGAGATATCTTGGTGGTACGTGGCTGATACTGACTTGAGAAGAATATTTTGAAATGGGATGACTTTACAAAGGGACTATCCTTGACGGTCTGATGTCCATTTTGTTCAATATCGGCCTTGCAAGTTGTGCCCTTTGTGACATAGACATTGTCTGTACATTATCATGGTGACTGGTAACTAAATTACGTTTGTGTATGTTAAAATTGAATTGGCAGACATCCATAGGTTTTTACTCCCTTGACAGAAAGTGTCTCAAAGATCTCCTTTCAGAATTCTGATGCAATTTTAAACATGGCTGCCATCAGTATCCCACGCCACGAAGTGGGGCGGGGGATATAGGAATGAAATTCGTCCGTCCAACCTCTTCTCAAAGGAGACAATTGCGTGGATCGATGCTCATAATGTCAATCACTGGATTGTAAGATCCAGACTCGATTATTTACAGACTGATGTCATAAAACTGGAATATTGCTGAGTGCAGCATTAAACAACAAACAAGCAATGGTTAATCCTAGTAGGAAAGTACTCAAAAGCATTTTGATGGACTCATTTTGAACTGTCAATTAGAGAATTCATTTGTACAATAGGAGCTATGACTTTCCTAGATTTGGATTCATTGAAGAGATTATCAACATCTTTTGTCGGGAGAAATCTGTGTATAAGAGACGTAATGCTTTGGTGTCCATTTTATTAGGGTTTGAAGTTGTATGTGTCGACATCAGCTGATGAAGATAGTGGATCATGAGAGCGAATTTCATACCAGCGTTCAGTAGGAAATGAACGACAGTGACAGGTTTAGTGTTCGTCAAAGGGAAGTAACCCGCTACTGTCACTATTCAACAATGAGCGATAATAATATATATTATTTTGACATATATCATTCTTTTGTCATGGGGGGCACGGGTGGCCCAGTCGTCTAAGGCGCCGCAATTCGATGTGCAGAGTTGAGTCCCTTGGGCACGCCAGAAACCTATGATTGTGGGTTCGAATCCCAGTTCGCCCCGGTTATGTTTCAAGGATTGTCAGCACCATACCCGTGCTCGTGGGTTTCACCGAAGTGGTAAACGTCTGAGACCTGCATCACTTCGGGCTTTCCTCCCACATTAAGCTGACACGCTGTGATATAACTGTAATACAGTTAAAAGCGGCGTTAAACCCAACTCACAAACTCACTCACTCACTCACTCACATGGCTATGATTTTGTTTGCAGTGGCTTAGTTGATCTAGAATTATTATCTTATCCATATCATATATGGTCATCAAATATGGCTATTTGTATCGTAGCTGGTGATTCGTGTATGACTGTAGGTATACAGTGATTCATGTATTGCAATAAGGATATGGCGATACACGTATTGCTGGTTGTATTGCTAGATGTATCTCTTTTTGTCTGGGATACCATGAGAGCAGTGTGCACAGGGTATTATGTGTAAACAAAATAATCACATTACTTTGGGCCTTGTGAATGTGTAAGGCCATATTCAAGCCCTGTGAACTGAATCAAACAAAAACACGCACACATAAACAAATTACGTCTTCGGTAACAACAATACCTGAGTTATTGTTTCCAGGTGTGATATGCAGAGTTTGTGATGAACACCACACTGTATTGCAATTACAAGTTTCAAGAACAGATGGCTCATGTCGCGTGAAGTACAGCTGGTGAATTATTTCTACTCACAGACCCTAGTGAATAAATTAAAAAAGAATCCCAAGTCAAGTCTAGAATAATTTGGCAAGTCCAGATTAAGCATTGTTTACACATCTCCATTTGGATTTGGGTTGTTTTTTTGTTTTTTACATATATATTTTTAAATAACATTACTGTATTTTGGGGACTAAGTTTTGGTCTACTAGTGATTATGTCTCACAGCTTAACTGACTGGTTATGAAGAGGGTATTGAGCTACTGTATTACATTGGATTTCATAGATAAGTTAATTCTCCTAATGCTGTACAACATTTCATTCATTTCCATGCAGTGTTTGTCAGCACATAGCAGGAAATATTATTCATGTTAAACAGATTTTGATGGAACTTGTATGAGTTCGAATCATAATGGCTTTGTGGATGTTTGTTTGACAAGTCTCATTTTATGTACAAATTGTTTTGTTTTTTGTAAACAATATAAAAAGATCAATAAAGGATATGAAAGCATGTGGTTCTTTTTTATCACCCCCAAAATAAAGAGAAGCAGTGAAAGAATAAATATTGAACAAAGCATACTGTTTTTTCATGACATGCAAAACAGAGCTGAAAAAAGATTATGTTCAACATTATCACACAATGATGGAAATAATTTGTGTCAGGAATGTAAGGGGGATAACTCTATCATTCTTACAGTCAGCTGACTTCAGGCAGACGGGCTGAATGTCATAAAACTGGACCTTTCTAATTCACTGATCATTAAAATCGTGTTTACAGTTGCAGATATTTAGAACATATTTAGTGGCAAGCAACTATGGAATAGAAAAACATATTTGGAATTTGGTCTGAATTTTTTACCTAAATTTGGGCCAAAAATCGGTAAATATCAAATGGGCCTTTAGGGCATTATCCCAGAAAATGAGAATACTGTAGTTCCTAATGAATCGAGTGTGTTTGTGTGTTATACTGTCAGTAGACAAGTAGGTCCTGGGTATAACACAGTTGATTCTATGCGACCATGTTGTGTGAGTGAGTGAGTGAGTTGGGTTTAACGCCGCTTTTAACAGTATTCCAGTTATATCGCGGCGTGTCAGCTTAATGTGGGAGGAAAGCTCGAAGTCATGCAGGTCTCAGACGTTTACCACTTCGGTGAAACCCTAGAGCACGGGTATGGTGCTGACAAACCTAGAAACATAATTTGGGCAAACCAGGATTCGAACCCCACAATCATAGGTTTCTGGCGTGCCCAAGGGAAGCAACTCTGCACAGCGAATCGCCCATGTTGTGTGGGTAAGATGACATGCAAAGCAGACCTGTTACACCAAGTGAGTGAGTGAGTGAGTTTGGTTTAACGCCGCTTTTAACAGTTTTCCAGTTATATCACAGCGTGTCAGCTTAATGTGGGAGGAAAGCCCTAAGTGATGCAGGTCTCAGACGTTTACCACTTCGGTGAAACCCACGAGCACGGTTATAGTGCTGACAAACCTAGAAACATAATTGGGGCGAACTGGGATTCGAACCCACAATCATAGGTTTCTGGCGTGCCCAGGGAGCACAACTCTGCACAGCGAATTGCGGCGCCTTAGACTACTGGGCCACCCGTGCCCCCTGTTACACATAGAGATCATTAATAGCGCTAAGATGATCTTAACTCCTATACTTGAGTCTTTGTGGAAGAGGGCCTAGTTCAGGACTAAGGTTTGGGCCTAGTTGATAACTAAGATCTTTCCTCTACCAGTGTATTAAGAACTCCGATCAGCAGCCAGACAAACCCCATGAGGATTTGAACTGGCACTCCGGTAAACAGCATGTAGCAAGAGGCAATGGAAATGATTAGGTGGTCAGCCTTGGTGACTTGGTTGATTGTGTGTCGTACACAGAGGACGTGAACTTTGCCGATAAATTAATTCCTGGTTTGTCTCTCCTAGACTCAATTATTTACCAGTCAAACAACAAGCAAACACACAAAAATGTAACCTTTCAAAAATACTCTCCAGTAGTAAAGATCACAAGTTAACAATGGCTAGTCATGGTTGCAGTTAATACCTGACGTTAAGAACCTCCAGTGACTCAGACCGCCTCCGTGGTCTAGTGGTAGAGCGTCCGCCCGGAGAACGGAAGGTCCGGGGTTCGATCCCCGGCCGTGTCATACCAAAAGACGTTAAAAGATGGTACTTGTTGTTACCCTGTCTGGCGCTCGGCATTAAGGGGCTAAAACAAGGACTGGTCGGGTCAGAGTCAGTATACTGTGTCTGAGTGGGGTATTCATGTTAAACTGCGGCATGGTATCTCAGTGAGCTAGCACTATAAATCGGCATCAGTCCGGACTAGTACAAGCAGCCACACAAACACACCCACGTACATGCACGTCGCTATATAAGTGCAATAATCTTGGACGCGACGTTAAACCCCATTTCACCTCACCTCACCTCCAGTGACCTCATCCGATTGTCTATATCTTAAAATCTCCAATTTGTGCAATCCCCCTCCCCTTTTTATGCACAAATAACTGTTGCTTATATTTTTAAAACTTGCAACTTTCACATCTGTATCCTATTGAGTGAAACACTGGGCAACAGAGGTGCTGATAACCACACTGCTTTTAGAATGTCTTGTTCAAGTACGTGTAGGCCAGCAAGAGATATTTTACGTCCGTTTCATAAGGTTCATGGAAAGTGTTTGAAACTTTAAATTAGTGTTGAATGTTTTTTTTAGATTTTTCTTTCGGTTTGTAAGAAAGATAAAGCACTTCCCCTCTAGGTTTTAAGACATTAAAAGCCCTTACCAGAGGGTTTTAAATTGAGTTTTTATGACAATTAAACCCTCATAAGAGGGTTTTAAATTTCATAAAAATCCAACACATAAACTCCTATCCTTGATCTCAGGATCCAGGCCACAATCTTTATAGTTTTATGATTTATGGAAATTATTTTACCAATTAGCTTTGGCAGGTTGAAATAAAAGATATTTTGTTAAGATCAAATTATGTTTTCTAATGTAGCATGAAGTTGTTTAGTTGGTAAAGGTGGGAAATATAAATGCTAAATCTTCTCAAGTGATTAATATTCTAACAGTACATGCAATTTGGAAATGTTTTTGTTCTTTTAATAATATTTTGTAGTGGCAAGAGACAAACAATGCATTTGATCACTAATCATCGAAACATTTGTTTGGGAGCTTTTTTTAGGTGTACCTTTATGTTACGCAATTTCATCAATGAAAGGACAGTCAGGAAAAAAACAATATATTGAAACTATTTCTTTTAAATTTTCAGAAGCTGCAGTTGCAGTTGCAGTTTAATCTGTAAACCATAAATATCAAATGTAATGCTTATTACAATTCTTTACAATTTTCAGAAGCTTTGGGTTGCAATTTAATCTGTAAACCATAAAAATTAAATGTAATGCTTATTACAATATGAAAGTTAACATTAGAAATTAGCACAATGAAATAAAACAAGTCCCTCATGACAATTATACATTCCAGTTAAGGCCTGACTTTTTAAAAACTTGTTTCACAAATCTGCTGACTAAAAAATACTGAAAAGTGACAAAATGGAAAAGCAATCCTATTGTTATTCCCACAATCAGAAACAAGTAAAATGTTTAAAACAAAACTCATTTACTGTCATTATCAATATAAATAAAGCATGTAAAATACTATAATTAAAACCTGTTGCAAATATATCTTACAAAATTCAAAACACAACAACAATCACTTGATAATGTGTTTACTGTTACATGACCAGTTTCATCATCTCTCTTTGCAAGTGATGCTAAATGCTACTTGTTGTTTTCTTTGAAAGGCACAGAAGACGTTTGGTTTCATAATAACTGACAAATTATCATGAGTGATGACTTATTTATTTACACAGTCGTTGCAGATACTGGCCTATTTATCAAGAATGTTGTGAAATTGGAACCAACTTTTGCAACAATGTTGTTTTACATTACCTGTTATTGCCGGATAGTTTGTTAATAATTTAGTCAGAATGAGTTTCAAACAGTCTGAAAGTGGTATGTTTTATCTCAAAGCGCTTTTAGAAACACTTATAGCATGTCCCAGACAATATTTTATAGATCTAAAAGATTTAAAAAAAATATAAAAATGATCTCCCCGGCCGGGAATTGAACCCGGGTCTCCCGCGTGACAGGCGGGGATACTGACCACTATACTACCGAGGATCTGATATCTTGGCGGCAATTTAGGTTATTTATAGAGTTGTTCGTGTAGCTAGTCTAGCTTGACATGCTTGAAATAGTTCCTGCTGGGAGTCGCTCGAGCTGACGTCATGAGTTGTGTCACGTGACTTGGTCTGTACTCGCTAACGTGCTTGTTCCAAAATATTCGGAATACTATCGTTGTGTACAACATATCAGAAAAGAATCGTCTTAGTTGACACCGATTTACGGTAAGTTTATTAACTCAATAATTGATGGCAAACTTCACTTGGTGATAAATGTTGTATTTAATGGGTTTTATTTTGGTCGACGGAGGGGCAGATGTCTTGTCCACAAGTGTGTCGGCCCAGGTTTGAGCCGCGTACATTTGACTTCGACCTGGGCAAAAAGAAAGGTGGGCATTGAGGAGCACGAACATTTGGCGATCACGATAATCGCACAGGTGCACATCACAAATATTTCCTTACATGTCATGTTTGTAAGTTTTCATTTTAAATGGAATGTGAGAAAGCGCGTTCCCGTAGTCAGTGGTTGTAGGAGACGGAGTCAGGAATGTGTGTCGTTGTCACTTCCTGAAGTTGCAGAATCAGGTTTATTTTTGTTGGTGTTAGGAGGTACTTTCTTGTTTTCATTCTTACATCAAACAGATATCTGCGGAGATAGTATAGATTTGCTTGTTAACTGCTCTTGTCTGAAGGAGCAGTTTTGTAATGTCACGCTCAGGTAGGTTTTCTACCTGTCAATTCAAACACCTGTAGGCCTATTGTGTGCACTGCTGAGATAAATCTGGCAAAATTCCTTGTATTATTCAATCTCAGCAGTAATTCAAATTGTGAAAGATCCAAATGGCTGTTTTTAGGTTGCCGATGAAATAGAATACTGACATAATCTTTATAACAGACCAGCACAATACTATAAGGGTTGGAGCCTGAACATGACAGAGGAGATGGAGAATGTTGACATAATATGCCAGAATTTGATCAGATTTAATGCATTAAGACATGAAGGATTTGTTTAAAACTGTTTTTCTTTCGTGTGAATACTGTGCTAAGATGTATTGAAATAGCTGTACTTGTGTCAGGTTCAGCCGTGCCTGAGTTCCCATAATAATCAATAGCTTGAATATGTTTCTGACATATAGCTAATAAATCTACCAACTCACTGTGAATATAAAATGATGTTTTCAAACTAATTGAGCTTTTGTCATGTTCATGTAGGTTAATTAAGCTAATGAGATGCAAGCTGCCTCCAGATGATGGCCAGTAAACAGTATCCATTGGTAATATCTGCTCTTGAAAACACCCCCTTGCTGCAAGTCTGACTGATTCATATCAGCTATGTACTGGCCCACATGAACAAAGGCAGTGGTGAGGTGGTGAAAAACAGACCGCAAACATTTTACATTGTATGACTGGTTGAATAAATGGATATGAAATTGATGGTACAGGCATGCTTTTACAATTTTCTAAATCTTGATAAACGGCAGATTTACAATATTGTTTTGCAAATTTGACATAAAAAAGAATGAGACAAAGTGGCTTTGCCAGTAGAGTTCTTTATAACCAGAATCTCATCCGGGCAATTTTTATTTATGTTTCCAATGTAGATAGCTAATGAAGTAAATTTACCCAGAAGGTATCTATGAATAAAACATTTGAATGATTTAGTCTTGAGGCAACACATTTTTCACTTTTATTTTCACGGGCCCTGTGCCCCTTCTGAAAAGCAGCTGGAAAGAAACAAATTAAACATAAACATTATTTTTGCTATGACTTCCGCTTGTTATACATTTTAAAATGTTATATGTAAATTCCATGTCTACATCACTATCAGTGATTCAAAAAGCCAGCTGCAGAGCTGCAGTTTTATCTCCACAGCAGAATGACTTTCATATAAATAAATAGAGCCAAATAAATAAATGATCTACATAGCTATTTAATATTTTTCAACCGACCTTGTGTGGAAAAGCTGGAATAAATGTGTGAAACATAAAATTAAAAAACTGTGGCCTAATTTTTGAAACAGATTCTTTATCATTGTATGGTATGAAAAAATTATTTTATCCAGTGGTCAAGTGGTACAAAACTATCTCTGGTCAAACCAAAACTTGCGAGGCAACTACTCATCACAACATTCACAACAAATTGTCTACCCAAGTTCTGACTTTTTTCATTCTGAATTGTATTCCAATAAGGAGATTGACATTTCATTTTTTCCATTTGCAAGTTGGATAACCTTGATTAAAGAGTTTTATTCTTATTGTTATAGTGGATCAGTTAAATCGTTGACTGTGCGTTTCATAAGCAACAATAGTCCTCCTACTTTAGAATATGGACACATTTTCCATGACCAACAAATGGTACTCTGTGAAATGGTCATAGGAACAGCTGCGATGCATTCCTGGTGTAATTATGTGTACTCCAGACAAACTTGTTATCAGATGATGAGGTAATAAAACTGTATATTGTAATTGAAGTAATTAGCACTGCAGGCATTTAGCCAGTCAGTGCTAAAGTGTGTGCTTGGTGAAATACCATCTAGGACGGGAGGGGAGGGGAGTGTGTGCTTATAAGGACATATGGACACACTACTCATAGTATGAGTTACAAGTGTCATGAGGCCTAATAGGGATAATTAGTTTTTGTTCAAAATACCTTCAACAATGTTTGGGATATATCATATTATGTGCTCTATTACATCTTAAAGAGTCAGCAGCAATGATAAAACAGTAAGGGCTGTCCCCTTAGTGTACTTGAAATGATACATATTTAGCAGCGACAGAAACTGTTTTAGTCCACTAGTCCTTATAATGATAACATGTAATGGCAAATACTATTACTGTATTCGACGTAATAAGCGCCCAGGGCGCTCTCAAAATTAGAAATAGGAGGCTCTTATTAGAATGGTATTCTGGTGAAAAAAAAACAGAGTTGAAAGATAAATTTCGTGGTTTATGCTGACAGCCTGAAATGTTTATATACGACAGATATGTTTTTCCAGAATTTAATTGCCCATAATTAAGGGTGCATATAACACACAAGTGCGTATTATACACGACTAAATAAGTCTTGTGTACATTAATCAATTGGAAGGGGTGCTAATTGGGATTGTTCACAAGCCAATATATTAATAAATATCGCCGTTGGCGCTTATTAGAGCGGGGCGCTTATTACGTAGAATGTGGTAGTCCTTAGGAAACCTTAACTGTTGGGCAGTTTGGCACAGATTATAGGACTAGTGCCAATTTCTAATGCTGTTCGGGTAAAATTGGTTCCAGTCCCAAAATAATTAATATATGTTTCGATCCATGAATAATAATAATTTACTTTAAGATACTACTCACCTGAGCACTCCAATGCCAACCATATTAAATTATCCTGACATATATATACTTAATATTCCTTTTCATCAAATAATTCAACACTGAGCCTGTTATTTTTTCAAGTCTGAAGATTGAAATAATCATGGTAATAGAGTATATGTTATACTTAGAATCATGATAATCATGATAATGGAAGGTGTTCATTAGAGGAGGCAGTCACATCCTGCTAATTATCTTGATGACAGTAAATACAAAAGTGCATTTCTTCCATAGTCATTCTACATATCTGTATGAGGCATCAGGCTAGCCTGGCATTTGTCACAAAGCTGGCGATGATATATGTCTGGAATGAAGGAAGCTTCGTGAACTTTGCCTTTAGAAGAAAATCGCTGCGAGTAGACTTGCATAAGGCTCTAGTCTAAGAACATTATCATATAATATTAAGAATTAACAGCAACTGCTTCATGTTCTTATTTTGTTTCCATGAAAGAATGTCCTCTACTGTTAACATATCTACAATGAACTAGATTTGATCATGTTGATAGTTAACCAGATGCAATACCATTATTTGTCTAGACTTGCTCAGAGGCTGATAATTGGTCCTAAGTCAGAGATCCCAAATGTTACTGTTTTGGGTTGAGGAATATGGACTTGTCTGCCATTTAGGGTACCGGGTACGTTTCTGTATTCTAATTTTAGTTAGGGTACGTTATAGTTCCCTTGCCGACAACGACCCTTTCAGCCATATTTACCTGCAAGCCTGTCGCTTGTGCCAGTAAAGTGTTCAACATTAGACATATAAATCAGCCCTTGTCATCACCTTTGTGATCAAATTTGACAGAAATGTGTCCTGATGATACAACAGACGAACATTTGGAATCCCGCGACCCACTCAGTTTCTAACACTGCTATTGGTACAAAGCAGAGGTAATCAAAAACAAATGACTTGCTGTGATATCTCAATTGTGTTTCTCCACTGATGGAGGAGGGGGTAAAGGTCAGAGGATCCCCCACCCCCAGTTTCCAGATTGCAGGGAACAGCTGAAATACACACCATCTGCCAATCAAGCTGACAGCTTTATTATGATTCTGGAAATGAAGAATGTCCCCCCTAGGCCCCTTAGGTCATCAAATGCAGACTGTGTGTTGTTTAGTGGGGTTAGCTGTTTACAGACAAGTTGGTGTATATTGGGAATTAGCACTGCATCTACAATTAGGTAACAATGTTGTCCAAATTGAGTCTACTTGTGCCATTGTGGGAGCTACATATGCTTAGTAAGGGTATGGGTAGGAATCCAAGTATTAGTATATCGCTTGGCTGATACAAGCAAATATTTATATGCTTGCAACCGTAATTATTTATAGCCTTCTTGTATATTATAAAATAAGTTCAAGTATGATGTGGAAACTTGAAAGGCACTCCATTAACTAAAATATATTGTTCCATTTTAGAGAATTTTTGTGTATATAGATGATGTAGATTAAGTTAAAATATTTCCCAACAATATCTTTTTATCTCTGGAGTTTAAAAACTTATAATTCAGGGTTGTGATTCACTCTTAAAAAGAAAGAATATCAACTTATGAAATAAACAAACTGTATCAGGATACGAATCGTTTCATATCCATAGTATTGGTACACATATCACATCATGACCTCTCCATATCCTTATACTTGTAGTAAAAAGTAAACAGTACAATAGCATCAAGATTTTGCATTTCAAGTATACCCATGAACATCTGGTCTTCAGCAACCCTTGATTGTAAGAGGTGGCTCGGCTTGTCGTAAGAGGCGACTAATGGGATTGGTGGGTGGCAGGCTCACTGACATAGCTGATGCATGTCACCATAACCCAACTGATTAATGTTCATGATGTCAATCACTGGTTTTTGTGGTCCAGACACGATT